CATGGGCCTGAGCCTTCAGTTCCAGTTATCGGTCTGAGGTGAGGCAAGAGGGGCCCATTCGGGCGCCTGTGTTGGAGTTCGTCGTTACGAAATGTCAATCTTAGAAAACTTGGTGCCGCACAATGCCGTACCCACCTTGCAGTATTTGACAGGGCCAACAAAGCACCCAGAGCCCGAGTATGGCCGCGCCGGTGGGGGCGGCTTTGGCTGAGGCGAAGGCGGGTTTTCGCGGGGCAGGCTGGGTGGTGGTGATGGTGCTAGACTGGGCGATACAGGTGACGGTGACGCAGGAGTGGAAAGCTGAGGTGGCGGTGCGTTCGTACTTGGCGGCACAGGTGGTAACGGCGGGGAGGACGCGCACTTGAATGCAGACGTTCCAGGCCGTGGCACATTGAAGCTCCACAGACATTCGTTGGCCTGGTCTCCAGTCCCGCAGCCCGCCAGCGTGTTATTGACGACCCGGGGGGCCTGGCAAGTAGCTGTGAGGCCCTGGAGGGTGACCTGCAGCGGGCCCGGAGCTGCAGCGCACACAGGGGTTCAGGGAGGCGGGACAGGAAGTCATGGAGTAGCGCATGTTAGTGCATCATGCCCGGGGTCCATCTGTGCAAACTACCTTGACTTGGATGTTGCACGTTCAAAATGCATTGCGATGCATTCGAGTCAGTGAGCTCCCCTCCTCCTTACCATCGCGACAGGCTCCAGTGCCGTCCTTGACCGTGAAGTGGACCAGCTCCGTATCGAAGTTGCTGCTGTTCCAGCGGACCCACTGGCAGTAGCGATCTGCGGAAAGTAGGTAGCAGTCATATGCGCATGATGGCTTTTAGCGCAAAGAGGACCTGGAAGCAACGCCCCGTGCATGGTGCAAGCACATGCTAGTCACTTACTCTCTGCTCCATTGCTCCAGCCGTCCAGCTTCTGCGTGTTCCCGGCTGCAGGCTGACCGCCGGCAGTTGCAATCACCGGGTAGAACTCGTCGCCCATACACACGTGGCTGACCGTGTCCCCAGTAGTCTTGGCGCACGTGCCCCGGACATTGCTCCAGTACAGACATACTTCACAGTATAGCC